AAATGTATGACCAAGGCTTTCAGAAAGTTACATATCGTCAAAATGTTTAAAATAATGTGTGTTATATGTGGATATATTAGGCACAAGCCAGAGACTAAAATTATTATCTTTATATTAAATTAAAATTCATGTTTCTCACATTTCCTAATCGCGTCTTTTTTCTGGTCACAGGATAATCTCATTATATTTCCCATGGTATAATGCATCAGTATGAGCTTACATTAATTCAGTTTTGTCTCATAACCGATCCATGCTTAAATATTGTCGAGTAATCTCAGCAAAATAGACATTACAGTTTATGTATACAAATTCATTAAATGTTATACCTCATCTTGCAATTCCATATATCTTTCTCTTAAACACAGTTGCAGCTGAACGAGACACATCCAATTGCACTATTCTCGAGTCATTAAGTGATAATCGGTCTTGTTCCATAATAATCGTTATAAAAAAATGATGCAGCAGCATGGATATATATCTTCTAAATACTGAAAGTTTATACAAAATTATTTAATGGTAAATGTTGAATAACTCAGTGTATATATCAAATCATTGATTGACACACAGCTGGTGGCCTACAGGCCTAGCAAAGTCGTTGCCTCGGCGCTTTGCTCTTTCATTTGTCTCCTCGTATATTTCCCCAGCAGTTTTACGGCAGTTTCCGGCAGTTCCGATGAGGGCTGCCTCCACAGCCGCACACGCGAAAAGCAGTGTGAGATCATCGCGAACAACACGAGAGTAATGTGTGTTAACACGGACAGTATTCAACTCAACGATCATCATCTCGCTCATCTAATTCAGCATCATGTTAGGTCCCGCGCATAAAAAGTACAGTACTGTCGTGATGTGTAGTGCCACTTACCGCTCTCTGTGGCCAAAAGTGATGTCAGCAATAAACAACGAAGGTTTACAACGATTGGGTAACGCAGCGATGCCGGCAGTGGAGCTTACGTTCTTTCTGGCGAGGGAGCGGGGAACGGTGGAAACGAACGCGCTGTCCCTCTCCTCCAACGCATTCGCTCGGCCTCATGTTCGACTGTGCAAGCACAGAATTACCAGATCACAATTTTGTATAAATCTGCGACGCCATGCGACAAGATAGGTCTGTATACAGTGCCCAAATGAAATAAAAGCCTTCACTATATGGGGGCAATGATCGCGCTACCTCTTTTTTCTTACTAGCAGCCAGGATGCGATAGCTGGGGCTTGTGATAGTCATCTAGGCCACGATACGTACAAATTCATGGTCTGCACTTAAAATGCTACACCGCAGCTTAGTTTTTTACTTTACTTATATAAATACAATGCATTATATACTATGTGTTTTTGTTGTTGTTGTTATTCGTTTATGCCTCCGCTCACGAGGTCTGGTCACAATGTATACCTTTGTACGTTTAGCTACAGTGTTTCCTATTGATAATGGTTATGTTGGTGTTTTTAAATTTGTATAACAATCGGAGTCATTGTCTGTGGCTAGATTACCTGGGAATGACTCAGACAGGAAATCTGCGGAAGGGCCTGTCTTGATGGCTAGCATTCCATTTGGTGTTAGATTCCTGTTTCCCCAGTAAGGTGGCAATGTCAGATGTCCGAGGCTTGGGTTGTGTTGGATCTCACATACCCCAGTTCGATCGTGTCAGTCATCTTCTCCCTGCTAACCCTGAGTCGTGAGCAATGTAATAACTTGTGTTCCACGGTCTCATTGGCAAGGCCACAGTCGCATAGGGGACTATCACTTGCCCCGATCTTGAACATGTGGGCTTTCAGTTTAGTGTGTCATATCGTAGTGCAGTGTATTATATCGTGTAGGTTTGCATTTGTAGGCATATTGTAATTTTCTCCTGGGAAATTTGGGTTAATGTCAACATGCAGCAATGCGTGTCACTGTAAAAATGACGACTGGCCTGTACGGTGACATTGCAGATTGTCTCCCCGAGTAACCAATGTTTCCCGAGGCGTCAGCCGAGGAAAATATTGGTTCCGCGATATGATAATGAGGTATGATAATGAGGAATGAGGTATGATAATGTATAATATTATTGTAGCGTATGGATCTGTGTTCATCTGTTCATTTTCGGTTGGTGTTTTTTTATCTGTGAAAATTTACAAAAGAGTCATTAAAATCAACTGGGCTAATTTCACTTTAATCAGTACCTGGGCGCATTATTATGATCACTGATCGCATATTATTCAGTCATCATTATTGTGACAACATTGAACAGTACAGCACGTAAATTTACAGCATGTGGATGACAGTGTATGTGTGCGTTTGTGCATATAACACCATTGGAAATACTTTCGAATTCTTGGAAATGAGAATTTCTGCCAGATAACAGGCGTAACTACTTTTACGTTGCTGTAATTTTATATACAAGCTATGGGGTGAGAAGAATTTTATGAAATCGAGCAGAAGTAAAGTTCGAGCTTTTCAAAAAGCTATGCGTTGACTATTTTACTTATAATTTAGCTGGTATACGGGCCCTACACCTGCTATAAGACATTGCTTTACACCATGAATTTAGAATCCACTTTCTGATAACAGCGAGCAACTGCTAACTTCTTGCTAAAACTCCCCGTATGCAGACCACCAACCGGTTTTTATGAGGGCTGCATTATAGCAGCCCTGATAACAGCGGGCGACTGCTAATTTCTTGCTAAAACTCCCCGTATGCAAACCACCAACCGGTTTTTATGAGGGCTGCATTATAGCAGCCCTGATAATTCTGCAGAAACAAAAAAATGTTAAAATAAACAAATCTGTACCTAAATAGAAATGCAGCTAACATGTAAGATAAATACATAGATTGATACATGATCACTTAAAGCCAGTTAACTTTAAGAAATTGGAGGGTCTTCTAACTAGTTAACCAATATTCATAAGTAAACAGATACCTGGGTGGTGATTTCTGTGAACGCTTTCAGCATATGCAGTGCATACCAAAACCTTTCAACTGCGCCTTCCTGCGAGATGTCGCGTATGGCTAATATAGAATATTGTCATCCTGTATGAGAGATAATACATTCAAATCTACTGCTAAGTAATTTAGCCATTGGAAATTACTGCAGCCTCTATGGTTGCAGGACCACACATTGCTGCTCTAGTGTCAATTGAAGTTCTTATAGTGCCTCTAAGTTTCCTTATCGACAATTATATGTAGGCCAAGCCCTTTCGAGAATTGTTACATATCGTCAAAATGTAAATAATGCTGTGTTATAGTGGATATATTAGGCACAAGCGACAGAAACTAAAATTTATTATCTTTTATTAAATTAAAATTCATGTTTCTCACATTTTCCTAATCGGTCTTCTTTTCTGGTCACGGTATAATCTCATTTATTTCCCATGGTATAATGATCAGTATGAAGCTTACATTAATCAGTTTTTGCTCTCATAACAACATCCATGCTTAAATATTGTCAGTCAATCTCAGCAAAATAGACATTTTACAGTTTATGTATACAATTCATAAATGTTATACCTTCATCTGCAATTCCATGATATTTGTTCATTAACACAGTTGCAGGCTGAACGAGACACATCCAATTGCCCTTATTATCTCGAGTCTATTAAGTGATAATTGGTCTTGTTCCATTAATAACGTTATATAAAAAATGATCAGCAGTCAGGATATGATATCCTTCTAATACTGAAAGGTTTAACAAAATTATTTAATGGTAAATGTTGAATAACTCAGGTATATATCAAATCTTTGAACACACACGTGGTGCCTACAGGCCTAGCAAAGTCGTTGCCTCGGCGCTTTGCTCTTTCATTGTCTCACTCGTATATTTCCCCAGCAGTTTCCGGCAGTTCCGGCAGTTCGATGAGGCTGCCTCCACATGCGCCACACGCGAAAAGCATGTGAGATCATGCGAACAACACGAGACGTATGGGGGTTAACACGACAGTATCACTCAACGATCATCATCTCGCTCATCTAATTCAGCATCATGTTAGGTCCGCGCAACAAGGTACTGTCGTGATGTGTAGGCCAGCTTACGCTCTCTGTGGCCAAAAGTGATGCAGCAATAAACAACAAGTTTACAAACGATGGGTAACGAGCGATGCCGCAGTGGAAGCTTACTTCTTTCTGCGAGGAGCGGGGAACGTGGAAACGAACCGCAGCTGTCCCTCTCGCTCCAACGCATTCGGCTCGCCTCATCGTTCGACTGGTGCAACACAGAATTACCAGATAAATTTTGTATAAATCTGCGACGGCCATGCACAAGATAGCGTCTGTACTACAGTGGCCCAAATGGAAATTAAAGCCTTCACTAATGGCTGGGCAATGATCGTCGCTACCTCTTTTTTCTTCTACAGCCAGGTGCGATAGCTGGGGTTGTGATAGTCATCTAGGCCACGATACTGTACAAATTCATGGTCTGCACTTAAATGCTTACCGCGCAGTTAGTTTTTACTTACTTAATAAATACAATGCATTATATACATATGTGATTTTGTTGTTGTTGTTATTCGTTTATCCTCCTGCTTCACGAGGTCATGGTCACAATGTATACCCTCTTTGTATCGTTTGCTACCAGTGTTTCCTCATATAAGTATTTGTTGTGTTTTTTTAAATTTGTAACAACTGAGTTGTCTGTGGCTAGATTAACTGGGATGGACTCAGACAGGAATCTGGAGAGGCCTGTTTGATGTGGCCATCCATCTCTGGTGTTAGATTTCCTGTTTTCCCAGTAAGGGTGGCAATGTCAATTGTCGATGCTTAGGTTGGTGATTGGTCTGTTAGGGTTAGGGTTAGGGATAGGGTTAGGGTTAGGGTTAGGGTTAGGGTTAGGGTTATTATTGCAAAATAATTGCAATTCTTCGCTATGTTACAAATGGGCGTTTGTTCTCTTGTCAAAGGCAAAGCAAATCGAAGCAGCCAATCAGAAGGCGCTAAATTCTATGTCGACTGGGAAAAAGATACTCGCGGGCGGGCGTGCGTGGGGGGCATACCAGCTGTATGCCTGTATGCCGGTATGCGGTATGTAGCTGTATGCCGGGTCAAAGGTTATCTCGCCGAGTGTTGCGTCGATGTCCAATCTCCCAGCGAGTCACACCGCATCGCCGAGCGTTAGTAGCTGCCTTTTGTTTAAATTTCGTACGAAAACACATCGAGTTTGCTTATAACCAGAGAAACTCGTATAATAACTATTATGTGGAGTAATACAACACATAAATTTACCTTGGTCCAGTACCTGTGCCTCGACACCCGTCTCGCGCGCAATTCGAAGCCTAACTGACCGTTACGTTCCCACTCGTACTCTCGTATACGGCGTCCGTTGTGAGTTACGCACGCTATGCGTAGGAATTTCGCGTGCAGGTCGTGTGAATAATGACTCACATGCGTCTTCGCGTGGATGCCGAGCACGCTCTTTCTCGTGAACGAGACGCTGCACGTCTCGCAGACACGCGGCTCGACGAAGTACTCGCGGCCCTGGATGCGGTACACGCGCGCCGCCGTGCCCGACGCCGCGCACGCGTACCGCAGCAGCAGGTCCTTGCGCGCAAACACGTGACGGCAGTACACGCACGCGAACGGTGTACACTCGTGCACGGGCGCGACGCTCCAGCTTCGAAGCGTCGTCGAAAACGCGCCCGCACGCGACGCTGCCTCCCCCGCCGCGCCCGCGCCGCTGTCACGCGTGCAGCAACTGGCTGAGAGACTTCGCGAATCGGCGGCAGCAGCGCGCGCACTCGTGCGGGTGCGTGTGCGAGGACGCGTGCCGCTCGAACGCCGTCCCGTCCGTGAATATCTGCAGGCAGCGGCGGTACTGCGCGGCCGCGTTCTGCGCGATCGAGCGCAGGCCCTCGCATACGACCACGTGCACCGTCAACCGCTTCTCGAGAACGAACGTCTTCTCGCAGGTGGCGCATGCGTACTTCCGCTCGTGCGTCGCCGCCAGGTGGCGCAGCTGGTAGAGCTCGTTCACGAAGCGATCGCCGCAGATCTCGCAGCGAAAAGCCTGGCCGTCTTCACAGCGGCAGGAGTGGTCCGTCATCGCGGGTCTCGTCGCGAAACACGCGTGGCACGTCTCGCAGTAGTACGCGGCCGACGCGTCGTGGCAATTGAGCAGCCGCTGATTCGCAAACGTCTTCGGGCAGTCGGCGCAGAAGAACGACCCCGAACTGGCGCTGACCTCGCACAGATGGTTCTGCAACTTCTCCTGGCATAGGAACGTGAGCTGGCCGTCGGCACAGGTGAATTCCACGGCGTGATTATCGAAGATGTGCACTCGCAGCTGGTCCTGGGTCTCATTGTTGCATCACAGATGTTACACGTCCAATTCACATCCGCCGTGTTATCACCGAGGCGTCCTGAGTTTGGTACGAGTTCTTCAGTAGAGTCGTTCTTCTCACCTTCCTCGTCCATTACTTTTCTATCCTTAACTTCTGAGATTACTCCTACTTCGTTGACGCCTTTGTCGTCGAGGTCACACATTGAGAGCACCGGAGTAAAGTTTGCAGAATCACTCCGCTCGAAACGTTACGTGTCTTCGTCGAAGAACCGTTTTGGTTTCACGTTTCTGCGCCTGGACCTTGGAATATAACTAGTTGAGGGAGCTTCAGAGCTATCAACAGTAGAGTTACTTTGCTCAGGTGTTAGGGGTCAGTCGGTTTTGCCTCTTCGCTCACTGCTGGAGAGTTATCCAATTCTGTATCCGCTGCAGATGGATGTTCAGAGCATTCATCAACCTCAGGGTTCTTCTGTTACATAAAATAGTTCGATTAGTGTTTGAGTAAAACATAAAATGTTGCAGTAATTCAGATTGAAACTCAGAAGCCAAATATAAAACTACCGTGTAGGCGTGTTCCTTTGTAAACAATCAAGTAGAATACCATTACTATACTATTATTATCCTTGTATGATTAAAAATTGCTCGTAACACCTGAGGTGAGCAACAAAATCAGGCCTTGTTGGAGAAACCACATTACATTTCTTGCAGTGAATGTTGAACTGATGAAGATGAGATTTCGGGCGTGGGGCTTTCTTCACTGAAATGATTACACGATCCACATTTATATATAAAATGTGAATTAAATAAATACGTATTATAAATGAATTTTAACCATACACATAATGGAAAACCTATGTCTACTTAACAGCCATATTGAGTCTATACATTCTTTAACGTATACGGTAGAAAATACATCTTTTATAGCTACTGCTGTCACATTTTACTTACCAGTATTTGCACTCTTAGGTATCTTTCTGGTATCTGGCAATGTCAAAGGTAATGGTTCTGCAGAAACAAAAAATGTAAAATAAACAAATCTGTACCTAAATAGAAATGCAGTAACATGTAAGATAAATCATAGATTGATACATGATCCACTAAAGCCAGTTAAACTTTAAGAATTGGAGGGGTCTTCTAACTAGTTAACCAATAATCATAAGTAAACAGTACCTGGGTTTGGTGATTTCTGGAGCTTTCCAGCATATGCAGGTGCATACCAAACCTTCAACTGCGCTCCTGCGGAGATGTCTCGTATGGCTATATAGAATATGTCATCCTGTATTGAGAGAATAAATACATTCAAATCTACTGGCTAAGTAATTTAGCATGGAAATACTGCAGCCTCTATGGTGCAGGACCACACATGCTGCTCTAGTGTCAATTGAAGTTCTTATAGTGCTCTAAGTTTCCTTATCGACATTAATATGTATCCAAGGCTTTCAGAAAGTTACATATCGTCAAATGTTTAAATAATGTGTGTATAGTGGATATATATAGGCACAAGGCAGAACTAAAATTTATTATCTTTATTAAATAAAATTCATGTTTCTCACATTTTCCTAATCGGTCTTTTTTCTGGTCACGTGTATAATTCTCATTATATTTCCATGAGTATAATGATCAGTATGAGCTTACATTAATTCATGTTTTGTCTCATAACATAATCCATGCTTAAATATTGTCAGTAATCTCAGCAAAATAGAGCATTTACATTTATGTATACAATTCATAAATGTATACCTTCATCTGCAATTCCATGATATTCTGTTCATCTGAACAAGTTGCAGGCTGAACGAGACACATCCAATTGCACTTATTCTCGATGTCTATTTGAAGTGAAATGGTCTTGTTACCATTAATAACGTAATAAAAAATGATGCAGTCAGTCATGGATATATATCCTTTAAATACTGAAAGGTTTAACAAAAATTATTTAATGGTAAATGGTTGAATAACTCATGTATATATCAAATCATTTTACACACACGTGGTGCCTACAGGCCTAGCAAAGTCGTTGCCTCGGCGCTTTGCTCTTTCATTGTCTCACTCGTATATTTCCCCAGCAGTTCCGGCAGTTCCGGCAGTTCCGGATGAGGGCTGCCTCCACATGCGCACACGCGAAAAGCATGTGAGATCATGCGAACAACACGAGACGTATGTGGTTAACACGACAGTATCACTCAACGATCATCATCTCGCTCATCTAATTCAGCATCATGTTAGGTCCGCGCAACAAGGTACTGTCGTGATGTGTAGTGCCAGCTTACCGCTCTCTGTGCCAAAAGTGATGCAGCAATAAACAACAAGTTTACAAACGATGGGGTAACGAGCGATGCCGCAGTGGAAGCTTACTTCTTTCTGCGAGGGAGCGGGAACGTGGGAAACGAACCGCAGCTGTCCCTCTCGCTCCAACGCATTCGGCTCTGCCTCATCGTTCGACTGTGCAACACAGAATTACCAGATAAATTTTGTATAAATCTGCGACGGCCATGCACAAGATAGGTCTGTACTACAGTGGCCCAAATGGAAATTAAAGCCTTCACTAATGGCTGGGGCAATGATCGTCGCTACCTCTTTTTTTCTTCTACAGCCAGGATGCGATAGCTGGGGTTGTGATAGTCATCTAGGCCACGATACTGTACAAATTCATTGGGTCTGCACTTAAAATGCTTTACCGGCAGTTAGTTTTTACTTACTTAATAAATACAATGGCATTATATACATATGGTGTATTTGTTGTTGTTGTTATTCGTTTATCCTCCTGCTTCACGAGGTCATGGTCACAATGTATACCCTCTTTGTATCGTTTGCTACCAGTGTTTCCTCATATAGTAATTGGTTGTTGTTGTTTTTTAAATTTGTAACAACGGAGTGTCTGTGGCTAGATTACTGGGATGGACTCAGACAGGAATCTGGAGAGGGCCTGTTTGATGGTGGCATCCATCTCTGGTGTTAGATTCCTGTTTTCCCCAGTAAGGGTGGCAATGTCAATTGTCGATGGCTTGAGGTTGTGTTGGATCTTCACATACCCAGTTCGATCGTGTCAGTCATCTTCTCCCTGCTAACCCTGAGTCGTGACAATGTAATAACTTGTGTTCAACGGTCTCATTGGCAAGGCCACAGTCGCATAGGGACTATCACTTGCCCGATCTTGAACATGTGGGCTTTCAGTTTAGTGTGTCATATCGTAGTGCAGTGTATATATATCGTGTAGGTTTGCATTTGTAGGCATATTGTAATTTTCTCCTGGGAAATTTGGGTTAATGTCAACATGCCGCAATGCGTGTCACTGTAAAAATTGACGACCTGGCCTGTACGGTGACATTGCCGATTGTCTCCCCGAGTAACAATGTTTCCGAGGCGTCAGCCGAGGAAAATATTGTTCCGCGATATGATAATGAGGTATGATATATGAGGAATGAGTATGATAATGTATAATTTATTGTAGCGTATGGATCTGTGTTCATCTGTTTCATTTTCGGTTGGCTGTTTTTTTATCTGTGAAATTTACAAAAGAGTCATTAAAATCAACTGGGGCCTAATTTCACTTTAATCAGTACCTGGGCGCATTATTATGATCACTGATCGCATATTATTCAGTTCATCATTATTGTGCAACATTGAACAGGTACAGCACGTAAATTACAGCATGTGGATGACAGTGTATGTGTGCGTTTGTGCATATAACACCATTGGAATACTTTCGAATTCTTGGAAATGAGAATTTCTGCCAGATAACAGGCGTAACTACTTTTACGTTGCTGTAATTTTATATACAAGCTATGGGTGAGAAGAATTTTAGAATCGAGCAGAAGTAAAGTTTCGAGCTTTTCAAAAAGCTATGCGTGACTATTTTACTTATAATTTAGCTGGTATACGGGCCCTACACCTGCTATAAGACATTGCTTTAACACCATGAATTTAGAATCCATTTCTGATAACAGCGAGCAACTGCAACTTCTTGCTAAACTCCCGTATGCCAGACCACCAACCGGTTTTTATGAGGGCTGCATTATAGCAGCCCTTGATAACAGCGGGCGACTGCTAATTCTTGCTAAAACTCCCCGTATGCAACCACCAACGCGTTTTTATGGGCTGCATTATAGCAGCCCTGATAACCGCGGGCGACTGCTAATTTCTGCTAAAACTCCCCGTATGCAAACCACCAACCGGTTTTTATGAGGGCTGCATTATAGCAGCTCTGATAACATCGCGCGACTGCTAATTTCCTGCTAAAACTCCCCGTATGCAAACCACCAACCGGTTTTTATGAGGGCTGCATTATAGCAACCCTGATAACAACGACTGCCAAGTCAAACAGACTGTTTCCTTGCATCATGCAGTCACAAGATCAACGCTAAAAATGCTTGCTATGGAAACGATAAACATTGCGCGACTGCTAAGTTTGGGAATAGACTAAGGTCGTGATAGAATCGTTGATTAATGATATACTTCATAACATTTGAAGCTGCTTATTAAAGCCGCATGCCAGTATAATCAAATAGATAAATATTGTGACACTACTTTATTGTGAAAATCTAATTTTTTGACGTACTATATTTCCTTGCACCAGTCACAAAATCAATGTTAAACATGCTTCAATATACTAATGTAGTAAAAGTTAAAATTCGCTTAAAAGTTTAAATCATAGATTATGTATTATACACACTTGAGACACGGTTACATGTACTAAGAATTATTACTGTGTGGCTTATTCAGAAAAACTATACTACGTGTACAGGTTGAAATCACAGCTTATTAGCAATACCGGTAATAATAATTTTTTATGCAAACACTTGAAATGCAATGCATTACTAGTCCAAGTATAACGTTGCGCAGTAGAGCGCCATCGTCTGACAGCGGTGTATTTAAAAACTGCACAGTGGCTCCATCATGCGGTCAAAAATCATAACTTACACAATTTAGTTAACCGCAAATGACGACCCTGGTCCTTTAAGACAGATCTTTTTGTTCGCAAACGTTTAAAAAAGACTAGTTTTATGCACTATATTTACATAATGAGCAACATACGCAAAAACATGAAAATATAGTAAACTATTTATACCAATGTAGTAAACGTTAATATTCGCCTAAAAGTTTCAATCATAGCTTATGTATTACATACTTGAGAGACGGATAAATGTACTAAGCATTGTTATTGTATGACTTATTCAGAAAAACTACTACGTATACAGGTTGAAAT